GAGGGGGGAATTTAATTTGTTAACTATGTTTACTTTCTAGAGAACAGGAATTGAATAAGTTTTAAGTTTGGATAAAACTATATTTCTAAAATAATAAAATTAGAAAATTGTAAACCTTGATGTGATAATTGAAGTAAACGTGATTTATTTGAAGTATTTAAAGTATTAATATTTTAACAGATGAATAAAAAGTCTTTCAATGATCAAATACAAAAATTGATTTTGCTGCTTTACCGATTGCGTGGGATGATATTGTATTTGTATTGCATAATCATACAGAACCAGTTCCCATATCATAACTTACTAGGCTATCAGGGGTCGCTTTGGGTCCATCTTCTAGTTCAACTGTTTAAGTATTGCTTAATACTTCATCATTTTCTCTTCGATGAAACAATAATGACATTTTTGCGGATTTACATTTTTTCTCGCAGATTTTCAAAATTTTACGAAAATTTAAATTTTGTAATTCTGAGCAACCAAAAAATTTGGGCCGGATCAGCTTATCCGCTTGGATACAAACAAACAGACACCCAAACAAGCAAAATATATTTATAGATTTATGCAAACTTTAGAATTTTTGTCTTCTAAGTAAAGTAGCCATAAGTTCAACCTCGCGCTTAATAAATAATAGATATTCTTATCGTTTTTCACAAAAAAGGGTTATCTGTTTGTGTGGTTTTTTGAAGTGGAAAATCTGGAACATTTTGTAAAAAACCCCAGATTTTTATTGTTTAACTAAACGTTTGCACTTCCTTACCCCTGTTAGAGTAATGTACCTGTGCTTCAGATGTTACATGTTTTATAATTAAAAAAAATAATGTTCTAAAATAAAAGTTTTTTTTATACAATTAAAGAAAAAATGAAACAAAATGTTCGAACTGTCACTCACAGTGATCTAAATGTTGCAATCTCCCTCGCAAACAGCAATAAGGATTTTCCTTATTACTTCTCATAAAATGAAAGCTAAAACAAATGTTTTGTAGTTTTAAAATGTTCATGTCTAGAGCTCCAAATAAGTATAAGCGAGTAAGTCATATAAAAACAAAGACCACCATGTTGCTACACCTCAAAGTTGATCCAGTATTGAGAATTGATGCAACTTATTATAGCTGTCAGGATCATGTTTAATTATTACACAGAACAGAGATTAGAATAGAAGGGAAATATCCCTTGGTATGAATTTGTTCAGTCCCTTTGAGGCTGAAAAGGAGTTCAAAGTGTACAGTTCATGTAATTGTTCACAAATTATACGAAGTACATTACAATAATACATGAAGTGTGATCCCTGGACATATTTGTTGCAATTTCTACTTTTTATAAAGTTT